TAAAAATAAGAAAGAACCTTATAATTATAAAAGTTACTTATAGGTAAAAAAAATATTAATCCCTCATTCTCTTATAATTGTAAAAGCTACTTATAAGTAAAAAAAATATTGACTTAAAAATTTTGAAGTATAAATATTTAGATATATTTAGTTTTTAAATTAAATATTAATAAAAAGATTAGATAATGTAAAAAGTCACTTATAAGTAAAAAAAATCACTTTAAGTTATTTAAAAATAATAAAAAAACTTATAATTGTAAAAGCTACTTAGATAAAAAAAAAAAAATTAACTTCAACATTTTTGAATAAATATTTAGATATATTTAATTTTTTTAAAAATAAATATTAATAAAAAATTACTATAATTAAAAAAATTAAATAAATAATATACACTTCGTGCACGGAGTGCACAGAGTGCTAAAGTACTTCAAACATAGATTGCTTTCACTTCGTGCATGGAGTGAAGGTGTCCATGTATGAATTTTTTTTTTTTTATATAATTATAGTAATTTTTTTATTAATATTTAATTTTAAAACACATAGATATATCTCAATATTTACTTAAAAATGTTGAAGTTAATTTTTTTAATCTATAAGTAGTTTTTACAATTATAAGTTTTTTTATTACTTTTAAATAACTAGAAGCGATTATTTTACTTATAAGTAACTTTTGACATTTTAGATAGTATAATCTTTTTATTAATATTTAATTTTAAAAACTAAATATATCTAAATATTTATATTTAAAAATTTTTAAGTTAATATTTTTTACTTATAGGTAGCTTTTGTAATTATAAGAAAAGAAGGGATTAATATTTTTTTTTACATATAAGTAGCTTTTACAATTATAAGTTTTTTTTTTATTTTTAAATAACTTGAATTGTATTTTTTTTTACTTATAAGTAACATTTTATATTCTAGATAGTGCAATCTTTTTATTAATATTTAATTTAAAGATAAAAATAAAAATAAAAAATTCTTAATAGATGGGGTTGGGATCACTATTCATTCTTGTCACTTGAGTTTTCACACTTGCTTGGTTTATACTATTCGTTAATTGGTTCACAAAATGTCCCTTAAAAATGAGTTTGCTCTCTCTTGCTTTCATTGTTCCATGACAGAGAAAGCCTTACCACATAGATTCTTAAAATCTGAGATATTGAGACTCAGAGGGTCAAAGAAGAGATCTTGAAAAAGAATCTGCAGTATGAAGTCTATGAAGTGATAAGGCAATCTGCAGTAGTTGATTAACTGAAAGCATTGGATATGTAATTTGGGCAAAAAAAGATTTGATAGTTATTGATTTTTTTTTTAGTTTTCTATGTTATTTGCATTTAGCGTGTTTTATTATTGTTTAAAAATGCGTGACATCTTTAAACTTTTTCTATGCTGAACTAAGAACTTTGGAAATTATACTGGCTGATGCTCTAGCTTTCTTTTATTTAGCAGCCAGGGTCTCGGGAGTGTCCATGTCAGTGTCTTATAAAGTGTGTCCAGAAGAATGCAACATTTTACCTCTATCTTGCTCTTTCACCACCTTTGTTGGAAGTTTTTAAGACAACTTATAAATTGAAATTTGCTTGTGTACCAAATGATATTAATTTAATCATTTTCTATCTGGTGAATTAACTAAGTAAAATCTCGTAGTTTAACATCTATAGTTAGGAAGATTGTTAAAAATCTGTTGGGTTATTAGTCTCAATATCTCGTGAGTAGAGACATCACGTTTGATGTTTGCTAAGTATCCTGACTTGGTTCGTTTATTTTTCTTTATTTCTAGCTCCGCAATGTCTATTTTGAATACCATATAGCAAACCTTAGTCACTATTTCAAATGTCATGACAAATATTTATGCTACTATTTCAAATATTGTAGCTCAACTAATATTTTAAAAGAGTCCTTCATACTTTTTTTTAAAAACAAATCTCATTAACTTTTGTCATGTAGCTTTGATGTTTGGCTAGCATTTGAAATTGGAGCCTTTGTGTCCAGAGAAAAAGTCGATGTGGAAGTAAGAATTGAATTCCATACTATAAATGCTCGTGGTTTAATATTTATACATTTGATTTCTAAATACATACTATAAATTCTAATTATGATGCAATTTATATATGTTAATAGAGTATGATAAACGATTATTTTATCACCTATCAATATAAATGATGAAGGCGATCCATTATAACCCAATATATTTAACACACTAATAATATGTTCAAAATAATTTAACTCGTACATTGCACGGGTAAAGATTAGTTTGGAGAAAGGTCACGAGTTCGGTCTGAATATTGATGGGAGATGAACCCCGTGAATCCGTTATTTTCAATCTTCCGATGTTATTGTAGGAATGATTTCTTAAGTATTCTTGTCCGAAATCATAAAAATATGTTATTGGAGCCCATGTGTTGGCCTTGGAAAGACAAAAAATCAGTGCCTCAAAATGTACTGGACCGTGCTAATTTAGATCCTATTTATGCCTCGTCTTTTCAAGAGACCCAATGCCCTATTGGCTATGACTAGACACTGTATGTATCTTTAATGGTTTGACTTTTTGATTATATATCTTAATAAAGCCTCTGTTTGATCGCATTAAATTAAATTATATTACATTACATTTATTTATTTTTTTATTTTCAACCACACAATTTTCCATAAAATAATATTACACGTCAATCAAAAAAATTTCCTTCTTTTTCAACCACTCATTTTTCTAAAAAATACTATTCCCCCCATTTTCATTTTCAGGTAATGGGCATCAAACAGGCGCAAAATAATGTTACATACAAATTTAAAATTTTATCCTTATTTTTTCACTATACACTATCCAACATATCACCATTTCAAAAATGATTTTTTGAAAAAAAAAGGCTCTCAAACAACCCCTTAATATTATTAGTACCAAATATCAATCTAGATATCAGCATATGATATGTTTGTTTGGCCCCCATTCTCTTTCTCATTATTTTTTTCTCTTATTTTTAATCACACATTTTTTATAAAATAATATTACACGTAAATAAAAAAATTTTCATTCTTTTTCAACAATATATTTTAAAAAATAATAATATTCCAATCATTAAAATTAAAAAAAAAATGAGAGCCAAGTGGGGGCTGAATAAGTTATAAATTCTCATATTTAGGGCCCGTTTGGTAGAGATTTTGAGAATTGATTTTTTGACCGTTAGAAGAAAAGTGGGGTCCACATGTGAGAGAAGAAGTCAAAAATTACGGCTTGAATAGTAAAATAACGGTCAAAAAATCAATTTTTTGGGACAAAAAATCCCTACCAAACGGGGCCTTAATTGAACGGGTTATTTAATATCACAAATATTGTTACCTAAACTGAACATCATGCTAATTAGCATTACTCAAAAAATTAATAAAAATCATAAATTTCTTGAAATGTGTCATTAAAATTAAAATTATCTCTATCCTCAATTTTAGTTGTCACACGTACAATGTTCTAGCAATGATGAGCAATAGAATCTACAAAATATACGATGATAAATAAATGGTAGTTATAAACGTATGATTAAAGATATAGTATAAATTTTGAAATGATAAATTTTTGGAGAATATGTTGTTAAAAAATAAGAAAAAATCTTTAATTTACGTACAAAATATTTTATTCTTAAAATATAGGTTGAGAAAAAATTGAGAAAAAAAGAGTTTTGAAATAACGGCAGACAAATAGAGTAAAAATTTGCCTTTTCAAAATACTCCAAATATTAAGCACCTACTAATTTTGGAAACTTAGGCCCTATTTGATGTCATTATTTTAAAAAGATAAGGTTTTAAATAGTATTTTTTGAAGATTGTATAATTAAAATATAAACAAAAATTTTAAATTTGCCCATAAAATATTTTATTAAATAAATAAGTCCCGTTTGACCCTCTTTAAAACTCTTTAATTTAATTTAATTTTTTTCTCTCTTATTTTCAACTACACAATTTTCAATAAAATTATATTACACTCAAATCGAAAAATTTTCAATCATATAATTTTCAAAAAATACTATTTTTTCCATTATAAATTCAAATAATGGGGTAAGTGGGGGCTAAGAACGAATTTTATGTTTTAAAGAAATACAAAGTACAAACAGATGCTCACGAGAGCTTGTCAACCAACAGTAGTCTTGGGTTCCCAAAAAACCAAACTACTCCAGAGCAATTCACTGCAGCGCCAGACCGAATACAGAAACTCAAGACAAACGAACCAAACTGGCCAAAGCAATAATTCTCAATCACCTAATCCATTTCTCTCTCTCTCTCTTTATTAGTCTCTCATCCTATTTATATAGATCTATATTTTTTTAATTATATAATCATATTTTTTTATTGAGAGCATTTTATTTTATTTATTTGCTAATATATTATTATTTAATTTGTCCAATTATAATCAATTTTTGTCATTTAATCTTGAAATTGTACAAATACAAATAAGGGTAAAATAGGAAATTTTTTAGCAAAAGTTATTTTTTCAATAATACTAAATACGATTTCTTAATCGTTACGAAAAATAAAACCAACCTGAGGGTGTTTGATACCTATTTTTAAGGAAAAATAAATTTTAGAATAGTAGATTGATGGAAAATGTGTGGATGAAAAGTTTTTGATTTGCACATATGTAAAATAAAAATTGTGTGGTTGAAAAAAAGAGATGAAAATACATTTTGAAAAAAAGGAAAAAATGAGAATCAAACGAGCTCCTATATAAATGAGAGGGATGGGGATATTGCCTCTCGGAGTATAGTCCAGTGCTACAAAGAATAGGAGTGAGATTATCTCACGTCTTGCTGGCAGTCGCAGTGTGGGGGTTTGATTCCTGAAATATAGAATTGGACTCTTTGTAGGTGCAGTGTACATACAATTTTTATTTTTTGACATGTTGGAACACATATCAAGATTTACCTCCCTCGAAAACTTTAGAGGCGAGACGGTGGGAGGTTTTAAGGTTGGGTTCAACATTGGGCATGGGGATGTTATGCCCACTGCCTCGTTGGTGGACTTCTCTATCAGAGAAGTCCTTTTCCCTCTCTGTACTCTCATCCTGTGGATCTGATCCATTGAGTGAGAAAATGAATGGCCAAATGAAGTGTCTGTCTCTCTAGATCTCTTTAGTGTTTAATCCCTTTTCTTTACCTTTCTTGTTTCAGGGTTTGTTCTTCTCTTTCCCTCTAAATATAGAAAAATGCTGAACTTTTTCCTGCAAATGTATCTGTCTCACTCCTAAACTCTCGCTTTCGCTTTTCACAAACGCTATTTTTAGAAACCCTTCTTTTCATTATTACCACAACATATATCATCGATCATTCCTTCTTCTGTTTGTCATTTATATGCTGGTTTATTCCGTGTGTTATTGTGAAGTGACTATTAATTAATATTATTCTGATAAATCTTAAACATGGCGAGGGAGAAGATTCAGATCAAGAAAATCGACAACGCCACTGCCCGGCAGGTAACTTTCTCTAAAAGAAGAAGAGGTCTCTTCAAGAAAGCTGAAGAACTCTCAGTTCTTTGTGATGCTGATGTTGCTCTCATCATCTTCTCCTCCACTGGCAAGCTCTTCGAGTATGCCAGCTCCAGGTTTCTCTCTCTCTCTCTCTCTCTCTCTCTAAGTAGAAGCTAGTTTTGTGGTGGAAGAATGAAAACATATTAGGAGAGAGAGAAGCTTATAATATTTTGGGATTCTCAAAAAGGATAGTTATATTTAATGAATCATTCTGAAAATATTCGAGGGGTTTTCTTTGCAGTCAGGTAGGATGGGTAGGGAGTAATGGCATCCTTATCCTGTCTCTTCCAATCATTTATTTTCTTGATTTGTTTTGTAATTCTTCTTCTTTATGCTTTTGCCTGGGTGCCCTTTGCTGTTCTGGTTGAGTTATCACTGATCTACCGCAAATATTGTTACTTATATTCTTTCATGAAACTGTTATGCTATGTAATTTTCCAACTATGGAACTGTTATTGTATGGGTCAGATGTAACTATTTCAACCATTTAAGAAAAATCATACATCACCTTTAAATGCTAGAACTTCAATAAGAGTTCTGAATTACATTCAAGGAGGAAGTATCTCATTCTTGATCTCCAGTAACTTTCTTTGATAAGTTCAAAACATCAACATTGAAGACATTGATGTGGATGGTAGGATTATTTAACTATGATGCCTCCTTGAAGTCAGTATGGACGCCTGACGCTACCAATTGAATTGTCTTTCAGAATTCCCTTTGCTTGTTCAAAATTAGATAACCTTTCCCTCGTTTGGTACATGATACATCTAACCAACCTTTCCCAGTGGAGGTAGGAGATCCAGTTAATGAACAAATAGTTTGCCTCTGTTTGGGTTTAATTTTATTTTGCTAAATTCTACTTACCAAAAGATGAGTGTATCTATAAGTGATTAGTATTACTCATTTGTGATTCTTAGTTAAAATTAATGTTTTTGACTTCAAAAAGTAGAATTTTAGAAGAAAATATAACCCTTTAAAATTAGTGATCTGAACGTGCTTTTTTCGTTTTTCTTCATCTCCTTTAATGCTTTTCCATGTTTGATTCTTTTTATTTATTTTGAATTCTTGGTAACTTTTTGCTTCAAGGTATTCATGTTGCAACGAGGATAGGTCATTATATTCATGTTTTATCCGTACTTTAAAAGAATGCTTCAATGGGATTTTCTGTTATGTATCATGAGGGGGGAAAAAAAATCTTTCCTTAATGTTCTTTTATCTAATTTCCTAACTTGTTTTTCCTTTGTTTATGCTCTGAAGTATGAAAGAAATACTTGAAAGGCATAACCTGCATTCGAAGAACCTTGAAAAGATGGAACAACCATCTCTTGAGTTGCAGGTAATTTTCTTCTTTTACACTTCTTTTAATATGTTACAAAATTGTATAGTGTTGAGCCCAAGCGACTCAAGTTTATGTTTTCGCCCATTTATATAATTTATTGCTCGTTCGTGCCTTTGAACACTGAAAGAATAAGGATATGTCATGCAGCTGGTCGAGGACAGCAACCACTCTAAGTTAAACAAAGAAATTGCTGAGAAAAGTCATCAACTAAGGTATATGTTTAAGAAATATAATTTTCTTTATTAATTTCTCTTTTCATATCTTTGGTGCAACATGGAGTCTTTACTTCTAATAGGCACATGAGAGGGGAGGAACTGCAAGGTTTGTGTATCGAAGAGTTGCAGCATCTGGAGAGGTCACTTGAAGTTGGATTAAATCGTGTAATAGAAAAAAAGGTTGTGCTTGACTACTTGACCTTGTGTCGATTCCATAATATATAGTTCACATTTATGGACTTGTTGATTGACAAGCTATATTGTTCTTACGATAGGGTGAGAAAATTATGAAAGAGATCAATCGACTACAAGAGAAGGTTAGAACAACATCCTAATTACACAGACTAGATTGTAAGATTGATGAAAGACTCTTTGAATAAATTACCAAGAACTTGAGAACTTGTGAAATGTTCAGGGAATGCAACTCGTGGAAGAGAATGAACGCTTAAGACAGCAGGTAACAAAACTGCCTCGAATCTCTTTCTATATACACGTATAATGGAAGATTTCACTGCATATTTGTTTACAAGGTGATGGAGATATCAAATGGGCGAAAAAACATGACAGAAACTGATATAGAGAACATAATCTACGAGGAAGGGCAGTCATTGGAGTCCGTCACTAACAACTGTAACTCCAGTGGCCCTCCACAAGATGATGATAGTTCAGATACTTCTCTTAAGCTGGGGTGAGTTTGATGTTTATTTTTCCTACATTAAACCTCCAAGCCATGTGCTTTTTAAGCCGAATTATTCTCCAAGTGTACACAATTAGCTTTTAAAAATTTCTTCACACCCAATTTTATTTACTTAAAAGAAGAAATGTTAGTGAACCTTTTTTTTAATGGGATCTTCCCCATAAATATATCGTGTTACTTGATGTCATCGCCCAGCCTCTACCCAAAAGAGACCCTTTAGATATGGTTTTTAGACAACTCTTTTCTTGCAGGCTACCATATTCTGGTTGAATTCTAAGGGGCTAACTGTTGTGGGACAATTATATTCTCAAGCTATGGGAAAACTGACTTATTATTGGGAATGTTGAAGGTAACACCAAAACATTTGGGATCATTATGAACCTGTAACCCTGTGGAGAACTGTTGCTGAACGTTCTCTCCATATTTTTTCCAGTATCTGAATTTACGCTTGCTGGAAATGTTTGTGTTCAATTATAGTGCTTCCACCGCGCACAAATCTTCTCTACATGGAATCTAGTTCGTGTTTTTGTTATAAGGCTATGATTGCACGATCTTTTTTCTATCATTTGCATCATAAAAATAATGCTCAAATACGAGAATACACGAGAGGGACACTATTCCGAGTTTCTTCATTTCAAATCTCGAGAAATTAATCAAAATTTGACTTTTTTTTCTTCCTTCACCCTGTACATTTTCGCCTCTCATGTAAATTAATAATTGTAGTAGTTGTGTTTGTCTATCTTTGATAAGAGAATCCACTGGGAATGATCTTCCTCTAATTCCCCAATACTTTTATGGAGGTTAATAGCTTGAAGAAAATTGGAGAATCTGGAAATCTATCATAAGATCATTCTTGAAGCCTACGAACAGAACATCTGTTGAATTTTTTTTTCTTTTAATTGAAAGCAACCAGCATTAAATATTATCGGGATCAGCTTGACCACATCACAAATGAATTTTGGAGGCTCCCAATTCATTCCATTTGAGTAAAACACAAAACAGCCTTTTTAGCAAGGGTTGGCTGCACGATTAGCTGTATGCCGAACGAAGTACGCTTAAAAGCACGAAAGAAGAAACTAATTCAGAAATGAATACTGGAAAGGTTGGACTGGTAGCAAGCTTTATGATTAATTAATGAATTAATTAATAAAGTATCCCGAATTGTCTCTGTCCATCTATCTTAATATTAAGCATACAATCGGCTTTGAGAAAAATATATTGTTAAACAGTGTTTTGACATCATTTGAGTCACATATTTTTTAAGAAATTAATGTTATCCGTAAATTAAATTTTTTTTTTTTAACTTTTTAATCACACAGTATAAAAATTGTAGTGATTTCAATAAAATTTTCAACTAAAATGATCTCTTCTTGTAGCATCCTTATATACACGATTACAGTAGGGGAATATTACATACGAAAAGGGGTAATTCATCATCCCCTATACAATGATGCCAAGTGTCCAACGGAATTATTCTTCCACTCATAAAATCAGGGAAATGTACTGCATTACACAAGGAATGTTGTTATAAAGGTTGAGCAGCTAGCCACTATGGATGATTCATCTCAGTCAGTTGATTGATTCTAATACCCCTCTCAAGGTGGAGTGTGTTTCAACCACTCTAAGCTTGTCTCTAAGGGAATCTTGAATGAGTAAAGGGCTTTGTCAACAAATCTGTAGTTTGGTTTGAAGATGGTACATAGTGGATTTCCAACTCTTTCTCAGAACTTTGTCTCTTACGAAGTAAACATCTAATTCTATGTGTTGGGTGAGAGCATCATACACTAGATTTGAAGCCAATGCAGTTGCACTCAGATTCTCACACCAAATTCTTGGAATTGAAATTTGTTGTATACTTAGTTCTCTCAGTAGTGACTGTGTCCAAGCAATTTCTAATGCACTATGAGCTAATGCTCTATACTCAACTTTTGTACTTGATCTCGCAACATGTTTTTTAGAACACTAGGATACTAGATTGTCAAGATACACACAATAGCTTGTTGTGGACCTTTTGGGCATGATGCCCAGTCTGAGTCTACAAAGGCTGCTATTTACAAGTCATGATTCAGAGTTCCCTTCAGGTATCTAAATGTTCTCTTAAGTGTCTTCCAGTGAGCATCTGTGGGAGCCTGGAGAAATTGACTCGTTCTGTTTACAGCATAGGTAATGTCAAGTCTTGTATGTGCTAGATATTGGAGACCACCAACAACACTTCTGTAAAGAGTTGGGTCCTTTATAACCTATCCTTCAACCTTAGAGATCAGCTTCTTAACTGCCATAGGTGTTAAACTTAGTTTTAGATTCTCAAAACCAAAGTTCTTAGGCAGATTAATTGCATTTTTGTCAGAGTTAGGTATAGCCCTGCTGCATTTCTACACACCTCAATACCCAAAAGTTGGCTAAAACTTCCCATATCCTTAAGAACAAAACATGCATTCAGTTTATCAATGAACACTTGTAGCTGTTCACCATTATTGCCCGTCACTATTATATCATCCACATATACTAATGCAAACAGTACAATTCTTTCATCCATCAAGAAAAACAACGAGTTATCTGCTTTGGACTGTTTGAAGTTCCACTGCAACAATGTATTCTCTAGTTTTTCATGCCAAGCTCTTGGAGCCTGCCTAAGTCTATACACTGCCTTCTCCAATTTGCACGCAAATTTGGGATTTTTCTGATTTACAAAGCCTTGTGGCTGATTCATGTACACAGTTTCCTCCAACTTACCATTCAAGAACGCATTGTTAACATCAACTTGTCTAATTTGCCAATCTCTACACACAACAAGGGTCAATATAATCTTCAAAGTTGATGCCTTAATGACTGGACTAAAGGTTTACTAAAGTCCACTCCAGATGTTTGTAGGAACCCTTTGGCAACTAACCTTTTATTCCTTTGCACCTTGCCTTCTAAATCACACTTCAGTCCATACACCCATTTGTTCTCGATTACCTTTATTCCTGATTTTGAAGGTACCAACTTCCATGTCTTATTCTTTATTAATACATTATACTCTTCTTGCGTAGCATTTTTTCAATTTTCACTCAGCATGGCTTCTTCAACATTCTGTGGTTCAGTCTTAACCTGTGTGAAAATCTTGGAATAATGGGTATAAACCTTTGGCTTGAAAATCCTTGCTTTACTTCTGGTGATCATATGGTGTCCTCTATCCTGTGTAACATCTTGAACATCACCATCAATGTCACCTTCCAATTCAACACTTCCATCTTGCTGAGTATCAATAACTTCATTGTTAGCCGATGTTAATTGATCCATTTCAAGATTCTCATTTCCTTCATTTTCATTCATCCCACCTTCAACTTCATGTTCTAGTTCTCTGTTGAAGGGCTCTGCAGCAGGTGTAGCACTAGGATGAATTGTATCAACTTCATTTTGAGGTACTACTGTATAACTTGACTCAACATCAAATGGAAGATGACTTGTAACAATCTCAGTAGTTTGTGGTTGAGTGCATATATTTAGGAAACTAGTTTTGAATGGAAACTCTGACTTATTGAACACCACATGCCTTGAGATATAAATTCTACCAGTTGAATTTAGGCATTTATATCCTTCATGTGAATCACTATAGCCAAGAAAGACACATCTCTGAGAATGGAATTGAATTTATGTTTTTGATAAGGTCTTAGGCAAGGGTAACAAGCACAACCAAAAGGTTTTTAGTATACTATAGTCAAAATTTCTTTTGAACATGGCCTAATAAGGAGATTTGTGTTGAAGTATAGGGGTAGGCAGTCTATTTATCAAATAGGTGGTTGTCTTAAAAGATTCCCACCAATAGTGTAATGGCATTTGTGCTTGGGCTAAGAGTGTCAAACCAGTCTCAGTAATGTGTCTGTGCTTTTTTCTTCCCCGCCGTTTTGTACAGAAGTGTGTGGGCAAGATGTTCTATGTTCAATTCTTGATTGTGAGGTAATTTGATCAAGTTGTCTAAATTTACCTTCCCAATCGATTTAATCTTTCTTTCAAACTTATTTTCCACCAGGTTTTTGAATTGGATAAAGATGTTTAGTGCATTTGATTTGTGTTTCATATGGTAGATCCAGGTAAACCTACTATGATCATCAATAAAGATGATATAATACATAAATCCCGAGGTAGAATTTTTTGGTGTTGGTCCCCAAACGTCTGTGTGTATGAGGTCCAACACATTTGATGCATGTGATGATGACACATTAAAGGGTAATGCACGAGACTTGCCAAATTGACATGCTTCACAGAAGGTTGGATTTTCATTAACTTTGGCAACTCTATTACAGGACACTTTACTCAGTACAAGATTTGAAGGTTGGCCCAATCTTCTATGCCAAACATCTACTTCTAATTTTGGTAAACTAACACTTTTGTTTGACTCGTGATAACTTGGACTCACTAAGAAATTTTTGAAATTGGGATTATTTTGATGACTTGACTTTTGAGCTATTAGTTGAGGCTTGGAGCTTGGTAACTTTAGCTGATACAATCCATCTCTAAGCGTACCCTACAGCAAGATCCTCTTCGTTTCCAGGTCCTTAACAACACAATAATCAGGATAAAATTCCATGAATACACTATTGTCATTAGTTAGTTGAGATACACTAATTAAGTTTTACTTAATGGCAGGTACATGTACTAATTTATTCAAATTAAGAGACTTATCACTCGATGTGGATATGTTCCTTTTGCTAATATGAGCAATGTGCAGTGAGTTTCCATTATTAACAAACAATTTCTCCTTACCTCCATATTTCTTTGCAATGGCCAGGATACTTTGTCAATTGTTACTTGACTGATTGCTCCATAATCTGCAAACCAAGTTGGATCCTCAATAGTGCTGGGTGAGGCTATATAGGCAGTGGCTGTTGGGTTGTTTTGATGAATCTGATTGCTTAGTCTACCTCCAATATATCTTTCATCATATCTATTGAAACACCAGCTAGCTAAGTTGTTATTCAGTCCATAGATTTGACAGGGTCCTCGATTTTCACTTGTCCTGCCTACTCTTCCTCTGCCTCTTGTTCTTCCTTTGAAGTTTGTGGACTTTTTGGAGTTTCTACCACCACTTGATCCAGACTTTTGAGCTAACTGCACACTTGGCTGACTGATATTCAAAGATGCTAAGTCGTTCTTGACCTGATTAAGATGTTCAAGCCTACTCTCAAAGGTCATAAGAACTGATGACAGCTCATACCATGAAATATCACCCCTGTTGTTAATCTGCACCATAATAGGTGTGTATTCTTCATCCAGACCTGCAAGAAGTTGGGTTACAAGGTCACTATGATCCACCGTTTTCCCAACTATTTGCAGGTTGTCAGCCAGCTGCTTGACCGTGGTAAGGTATTGATCCATAGTCATAGAACTTTTCCTAGTTCTCTACAGCTCCCAAGAGAACTAGCTCCCAAGTAAGGAATGTCACTCTTGATCTATTCAATATTCCATAACTTTCTTTGATTGCATTCCACAAACTGTTTGAGCTAGTACATCCCATGACCTTCATTGCAATTTCAGGGGTCATGGATGAATGCAGTCATCCCATTAGCAGCTGATCAGTTGACATCCATTTGCTGTACTCTGGCTTCTGGGTCACTTTTATGGCTTCTCCTGTTTTAGTAGTGGTTTGAGTACTAGTGAACTCCGGTGGCATTGTTTTGTTCCCAGCAAGTAGCCTTCAAGATTATGGCATTTGATTATAGGCATAACTTTGTTTTGCCATAACATGAAATCGTTTTTGTCAAGGTTTACTGATGTAGTTTGAGTAAGATTCATCTCAAAGGGTGATGACTGATATACAGCAACTTCTGTGGATTGTGCATGACTCAAATCGGTTGAAGAAGCTTGAACACTGGAATCGATGTTAGCCATTTTGGCTCTGATACCAAGTAAAAAAATTGTAATGATTTCAATAAATTTTTTAGCTCAAATGATCTCTTTCTGCAACCTCTTCATATACACAATTACAGCAGATGAATATTGCATACAAAAAGGGATATTCCATTATCACCTATACAATGATGTCAAGTGTCCAACAAAATTATTCTTTCACTCGTAAAATTAGGGAAATACACTGCATTACACAGGGAATGTTGTTATAAAGGTTGAGCAACTAGCCACTATGGATGATTCCTCCCAGTTGGTTGATTGGTTCTAACAAACATGCTATTTGAAAATTCATTCTTATGAAAAAAATGGGGCTCAAACAAGGGCCCAATATTCTTATCATGTTCAATCTATCTGATGAGTGTAATTCACTCATTAAACTTAAGCTTCTAAATCGAGTTTTTTGATGTGTTCTTGAGCATTTTTGAACGTTTTGATGTGTGCGTTAGTGTTGTTTTGCAGTTTGGACAATTCTCAAGAAACTATCACTATTGGGAGCCGGTGATGAGCAAAAATGATAATCAATGAAATGGAGCATGAATAAGCAAGTATTGAATAAGATTGGAGTGGGAAATAGGCTTGAAAAAATAAAGAGAAGAGGATTAAAGCAGTGGCATTGGCGCCACGACGCCGAAAAAGGGGCGCCAAAGAGAAGAAAAAGCAAGCAGAAACATGGGCGCCATGGCGCCCAAGGAAGAAAAAAGAAGCAGAACATTGGGCGCCACGGCGCCAGATTTGGGCGCCACGACGCCAGACCTAGGCGCCATGGCGCCCGTTTCCAAAACACTAAAATTCGAGTTTTTAAGTATCTTTTCGGCCCAAAAATCATACCCTAACCCT